GTTTGTTACAGTGCGTGTGTACTCACCAGAAAGACAAAGAGAGACAAATAGACAGAAAGCGAGAAATCGCCCCCCAGAGGGGATGACCACGCCGCAGTCCCTTCCCCATTCTCCTCTTGGATTCGGGGCAGGCACATGCACATGCTCCCAGCGTGTTTTTCAGGCTATGGGGTTAGGACTCCAGCCGTGATGTCAGCCATGTGGGATCCAGCCACCTTAACTTCCATGCCACTGGCTGGCCCCTGCCATGGGGTGTTCATCTAGCTTCAAAATGAGGGATTGAGAGTAGGTGCTCTTAATTGACCCCTTATGGCTATTTGTGAGAATTGTCCCCTTCGTTTTTAACATAGTAACAGCATTTTCTTTGGTGGGAAAATGAGTAGGAATAGTGAGTGCACTTGTAGACCAGTCCAGCAGCACTTGGGTTGTCAATATCTAGAAAATGAAACGCGATAGAACAGCTGCTATTGGAATATCGGATTGCTCCCAAAATAATTACAGAATGTCATGTTGGATGAAACCTGAGTTCTCAATCTGCATGAACCTGTGTACAGATGGATAAAAATGAGACCTGGAATCAGAGTCGGTGGCAAAACTAGGGGACACTATTGAATATTTGTTTCAGGTTTTGTGAGCATTTTATAAGATTGGGGTCTCTAACACTGAATATTAAAAATGATACTCAGTGGTGGTTTTGTTAATTTGCAATGGGGTGCATGCACTTGCCAGAGAGAAAGTGAGAAATCACCCCTCGGGATGACCTCACTGCATTCCCGTCTCTAGTCCCCTCTTGGAATTTGGGGTGCTGACACATGCCCAGTGTGTTTCTCAAGCTGCCAGGTTCAGCATTTGAACCACGTAGTCGGCCATGCGGGATCACTGCCTTAACCATCATGCCACCGGTTGACCCGATTCCAAGGCTTGTTCAAAGGAATGTGCATAACCTTACTGAAAAGCCACATTCTGAAAACGGATTGGAATGACGACTGAAAGGACAGACGTGTGAAAGGCATGCTGTTGGCGTGCCACATGGGAGGTGGCCACGGGTCCCAGTGCAGTGAACAGGAAGCTATGCCGAGGACACATCAGAAGCCTCCCACCAGCCTAGGCAGCTTAGAGGGACCAGAGGAGCAGGGCCTGGAACACTTCCCACAGCTAATGGAGAGGACTCACAAAAGTTCCAGACATAATTTTTTTCTTTTTTTTTTTTGGGGAGTTTTTTTGCTATAGGGCATGTGTGCTCGCCAGACAGACAGAGACAGAGGGACAGAAAGCAAGAAATCACACCCGGGGGGATGGTCACGTCACAATCCCTTCTCCTCTATTCTCTTCTTGGGATCTTGGGCATGCACACACGCGCCCAGCGTGAGTTTAAGCCACTGGGTCCGGGACTCGAACCGTGGTCAACTACATAGGAGTCCAGCGACATAGCCGTTACACTAACTGCTGGTCCACTGGACATAATTTTTTTTCAATAAAATCAGCGTCAGCTAGGTAGTGTGGTGGGTAAGGCAGCTGGACTGCATGCTGCCGATTACACAATTAGAGTCCCCAGCCCAGTGGCTTGAAAAACAAGCCAGGTACGTGTGCACACATGCCCCAGATCCCAAGAACAGAAGAGGGATTGCAGCATGGCCGTCCTCACCTGGGGCGACGGGTGTTTTCTCACTCTCTACACTGCGCATGCACTGTAGCAAATTAGAAATAAGAAAAATAAAATCATGTGATCAAAAAATTCAGAGAAAAATACTAAAAGATTTTAGAACCAAAAAAAAATTACCTACAAAGAAAGTAGAATCAGGGCCAGCAAGTGGCATAGTGGTTAAGGTGCTGGACTCCCACATGGTCCACTACAGTTCGAATCCTGAACGCAGCAGCTTGAAACACGCTGAGCACATGTGCGTGCGTGCCCCAAATCCTGAGAGAATGGAAGAGAAGGCACTGTAAAGACATTCCTTCGCGGGGGCGGGTGGGGGTGGGATTTCTTGCTTTCTGTCTCTTTCTGTGTCTCTGGTGAGTGTACGTGCCCTATGGCAAAAATCTCTCAATATGCTTAATGGAATACATCTCTTTAATAGGCTTTTTTTTTTTTTTTTTTTAAAGATTTTTGCCATCGGACACATGCACTCATCAGAGAGAGAAACAGACAATGAAGGAAAGTGAGAAATCACCCCCCAGGGGGATGGCCACACCGCAATCCCATCTCCTCTGTTTTACTCCTGGGATCTTGGGCATGCATGCACACTTGCCTGGTGTGAGTTTCAAGCCACCAGGTCCGGGACTCGAACCAAGCCATGTGGGAGTCCAGCAAAGTAACTTCTACGCCATCTGCTGGCCCCGATCTTTGACATTTTTATTAGTGATCTCTTTTTTTTTCTTAAGTTTTTTTTTTTTTTAATTTAACTTTATTTGTTTATTTCTTTCAACTTGACTGGAGAGGGACAGAGTAAGAGAGTGAGAGGGAAGTCGCCAGGTCCGGGAGTCGAACCACAGTCAGCCACGTGGCAGTCCAGCACCCCTAACTACCACACTACCTGCTGGCCTCTTAATTGGTGATCTCTTAATTTGTCAAAAACAAATGTATGACTTACGTAGTTAAAAATTAAATTCTAGGGCTGGCAGGTGGCATGGCGGTTAAGGGCGCTGGGCTCCACATAGCTGACTGCAGTTCGAGTTCCGGACCTGGCAGCTTGCTTTCTTCCTTCTCTCTCTCTCATTCACTCTGGTCAAATTAAAATAAATAAGTAAATGAAGTTAAATAATTCTTAAAAAAGATTCTCGAGGGCCTGTACTTAGAGCTGTGCAGTACGAAGGTGACTGGGCTGTGTCTAGTAACGATCGTTAGCTGCCCGTAGCTGAAGAGAAGCGTGAGGGCTCTTGATAGTCAGGTGTTGGTTGTCCCATGCAGAGCTGTACGCAGACGTGGGTGCTCTCTGCCCTTCAGACAGAAGGCGGGCAGGTAACTACATAGGAGTCCAGCGACATAGCCGTTACACTAACTGCTGGTCCACTGGACATAATTTTTTTTCAATAAAATCAGCGTCAGCTAGGTAGTGTGGTGGGTAAGGCAGCTGGACTGCATGCTGCCGATTACACAATTAGAGTCCCCAGCCCAGTGGCTTGAAAAACAAGCCAGGTACGTGTGCACACATGCCCCAGATCCCAAGAACAGAAGAGGGATTGCAGCATGGCCGTCCTCACCTGGGGCGACGGGTGTTTTCTCACTCTCTACACTGCGCATGCACTGTAGCAAATTAGAAATAAGAAAAATAAAATCATGTGATCAAAAAATTCAGAGAAAAATACTAAAAGATTTTAGAACCAAAAAAAAATTACCTACAAAGAAAGTAGAATCAGGGCCAGCAAGTGGCATAGTGGTTAAGGTGCTGGACTCCCACATGGTCCACTACAGTTCGAATCCTGAACGCAGCAGCTTGAAACACGCTGAGCACATGTGCGTGCGTGCCCCAAATCCTGAGAGAATGGAAGAGAAGGCACTGTAAAGACATTCCTTCGCGGGGGCGGGTGGGGGTGGGATTTCTTGCTTTCTGTCTCTTTCTGTGTCTCTGGTGAGTGTACGTGCCCTATGGCAAAAATCTCTCAATATGCTTAATGGAATAAATCTCTTTAATAGGCTTTTTTTTTTTTTTTTTTTAAAGATTTTTGCCATCGGACACATGCACTCATCAGAGAGAGAAACAGACAATGAAGGAAAGTGAGAAATCACCCCCCAGGGGGATGGCCACACCGCAATCCCATCTCCTCTGTTTTCCTCCTGGGATCTTGGGCATGCATGCACACTTGCCTGGTGTGAGTTTCAAGCCACCAGGTCCGGGACTCGAACCAAGCCATGTGGGAGTCCAGCAAAGTAACTTCTACGCCATCTGCTGGCCCCGATCTTTGACATTTTTATTAGTGATCTCTTTTTTTTTCTTAAGTTTTTTTTTTTTTTAATTTAACTTTATTTGTTTATTTCTTTCAACTTGACTGGAGAGGGACAGAGTAAGAGAGTGAGAGGGAAGTCGCCAGGTCCGGGAGTCGAACCACAGTCAGCCACGTGGCAGTCCAGCACCCCTAACTACCACACTACCTGCTGGCCTCTTAATTGGTGATCTCTTAATTTGTCAAAAACAAATGTATGACTTACGTAGTTAAAAATTAAATTCTAGGGCTGGCAGGTGGCATGGCGGTTAAGGGCGCTGGGCTCCACATAGCTGACTGCAGTTCGAGTTCCGGACCTGGCAGCTTGCTTTCTTCCTTCTCTCTCTCTCATTCACTCTGGTCAAATTAAAATAAATAAGTAAATGAAGTTAAATAATTCTTAAAAAAGATTCTCGAGGGCCTGTACTTAGAGCTGTGCAGTACGAAGGTGACTGGGCTGTGTCTAGTAACGATCGTTAGCTGCCCGTAGCTGAAGAGAAGCGTGAGGGCTCTTGATAGTCAGGTGTTGGTTGTCCCATGCAGAGCTGTACGCAGACGTGGGTGCTCTCTGCCCTTCAGACAGAAGGCGGGCAGGTCAGGGAAAGTGCCACCGAGCAGGGCTGAGATGGCAAGCTGAGGCCCCAGGCTTCCCCGTACCCGCGTGCCTTCTGCCCTGCTCCTCTGCTCGGCTCAGTTGTCCCATCTTTTGGCAGGAGCCGACCAGGCCTCTATAACGGCCAGGAGTCACATCCAGCTGGTGAAGTCGCAGGTGCAGGAAGTGCGCCAGCTCTCCCAGAAAGCGGAAACCAAGCTGGCAGAAGCACAGACAGAAGAGCTCCGTCAGAAAACACGGGAGGACGGGGACGAGCAGGCCGGGCCAGAGCAGGAGGCCTACCTGCGTGAGGATTGAGGGCCTGCGCCCACTGCCCTGCCTGCCCACTCGGAAAGCAGAGGCGGACGCCATCCTGTCCAGGGTCTGCACGGCCCTCTGCACACAGGAGGGAGCAGACCCTGCGCTGGCTGACGGGCCAGAGGCCCCTGAGAGCTGGAGCGCCTGCCCTGGCCTCCGGTCTTAGCCCAGGGCACTGCGCTGTGCGCCGTTTCCCAGCGGTGCAGCCACGCTCTCCCCACTGATCTCTGTACCTCACAGCCAAAGCATCTCGCCAGCCTGGGCCAGAGAGGGTCGTTTTCTGTCGTGTCCTTTATGCTCAGTAGCTGTTTAACCTCACTTTTCCATCTTATTTACGTTTTCAAATGTGATTTAGTACTCGCTCCCTCCACAGGGGTGGAGTTTGGCGGGGAAGGGGTAGCCCATCCAGTTAGTGCGCGTCCTTGCCAGAGTTCCTGACGCCCTCTCTGATCAGGCTGCTGCTGAGGCGGAGTCTCATTAAGGGAGGGAACGCAGTGCTGGCCTGTGTCCCCAGCAGGACCGAATCTAACACGCCTCGGTTCCTCCTTTCCTTTAGTTTCTTCTTATATCCAAAGGAGAAGAATTGTGTTTGCACTGAACAAAGGTGTGTGTGTGTGTGTCCTGGAACCTGTGCAGCTGCCTCCGTCCGAGACGAGCGCCCCAGGGGCTGCGGAAGTGCCCGGCCGCTGGGCCTCAGCGGCGTTTGCTGTGCCTTCACTGCCATTCAGCGCTCACCGGACAAGTGAGCTGGGTTCAGTGGTTTTAATCAGGGCCGACACGGTGGGAGGGGGTTACAAAACAGCATCTCCGGCCAACCAGGGAGGACGAGATTTTGTCAGGACTGGAAAGCAGTCCCCTGAGGGTTATGGCTCAGCCCGCCTCAGACTGGGGGTCTGAGGACTGCTGTGCACTTGAGCCCCTCATCTGTCACCAGCGCCCACATGGTCCACATCTCCAGGGCGCTGAGGCGGTGCACCAGCAGGAGCCCCCTGAACAGGCAGGGGTCCCGCGGGTCCAGGGGCTGCCGGATTCCGAATGTCTTAAAGCCAGCGTGGTGCGTGGGGCTCACGCCCAGCTTCTGCAGGCACATGCCCACGAAGACGTCATCGATGGGGAAGAGCTCGGCCTCCTCCACAGCCGCCTGGAGGTGCCTCACGGTGGCCCTGGACATGACATAGCCCCCGCCCCCGGCGTAGGGCGGGTAGTGGCGGGCCCCGTACATGGAGGGGGGGATGAAGTACTTGACCTTGGTGTTCCTGTTGGGCAGGGCCTGGCGGATGACATCTCCCACCAGGAGGTCCTGGGCTGGGTCCTGGCCATCCAGGAACTCCAGCACGTTGGGGATGTGGACAAAGACGTCGTCATCCCCCTTGAGCATGAAGTGGGCATGGGGGCAGGCGGCTGCCACCCAGCGCTGCAGGTGCAGCTCTTTGAGCGTCAGGTTAAAGAAGTCCTCCACGAAGTCCCACTGGAGGATGTCATCAAACTGCCCACTCTCGTAGGCCAGCAGCTGGGCTGGGGGCACAGGCCCTGCCACCCCCAGGAGGAACACCAGCTTCAGCCGTCGGCCCCGAGTCCAGCCCCCCGCATGGCCCCATGTGCCACGGATGGCCGCCCGGCGCTCAATGTGCCCTGGCTGCGACTTGATGGCCAGGAGGAGGAAGGTGTCCTCGGCACAGCCCGTGGGCTCCAGCAAGACGGAGAAGTTGCGGCAGTGACGATAGGTCAGGAAGAGGCGGTGGCGGCTGGGCAGGGCCAGGGAGGCGTTGGCCGCCATGTGGTTGGGGGGACACCAGCTGCGCCCAGGCCCTGGAGAGGCCCAGAAGGGCTGGCGGGCCAGAGGTCCCCCTGCCGGTGTGGCCTCCCTCTTGAGGAAGAGCAGGCAGCCCAGCAGCAGCGCGGCGATGCTGCACAGGACCAGCCGGTCCAGCCTGCGCGCCATGGTGGGCCTGCAAGCAGAGAGCGCTGAGCTGCACCGCCAGCCCGCCCTGCCCTCCCTTCCCCGCTGCCTCTGGCCCAGGAGCACCTGCAGCACCTCCCTGCTGGCCCTGGGCACTTGTCTTTCTCCCAGCATGTCTAGCTCCGCAGAGCCCTTGCTTGGAGGGAGGACTGCACACCTTCCACCGCCCTCATCTGACGGCTCTGGTCAACATTTCCCCAAAATGATGTGCAGCCAGGTTAAAGCAGAGGCCATGGGGTTCCCAGCCTCCCAGGGACGGGAGCACCTCGTGGCTTCCAGGGAGAACCATGCAGTTAAGTGTGTGCCTGAGGTCACACCACAGAGAGAGAGTCCACGGCTGGTGTCTCCCAGGACTGGCCCAGCAGGCTGAGGCCTCGCAGCTTCACACCCCCCACCCCTGCTCAGGCTCCCCTGGTGGAGGAGGTAAGGGATTTGGGACAGAAGGAACAGCAGGGCAGGAAGTAGGAGGCCGGCGACTACCACGGTGACCCCCGGATGCCCTGCCGCCCCTCTCCCACCGTTGAGTTCCAGTTTTCTCTCATGAAATCTCAAGTGGAAGAGGCCACAGCACCCAGAGGAGCCCAGCCAGGCCCGGCGCGGCAGGCCCGGCACCACCCTCATTCCTGCCCCCTGGCCCTTCTGCCTTCCAACCACCTCCCACGGGAGCCTCCTCCAGCCCCGCTGTCCCTGCTGCTGCCGCCACTGCACCATCAGAAAAGCCTCTCATCTCGGAGCTAGCTAGCGACACAGTGGCGAGCAGGACATGCGGGGACACTGCCCCCAGAGGACAGGGCAAAACACAAGCCTCACAAAACTCAGGAACCAGAAGCGCCGAGAAGAGTGGAGGGCGTGGGGCCGACGTCGCGGAGGGACACCGAGCAGGACAGCGGGGGAAGGGGCGGGCGCGCGGGCTGGGTGCGGCCGGGGGAGGCAGGGTCGAGGCGAGGCGGCGAGAATTACTCTAGAAAGGCCCTCCCGGGCTGCGTAGATAGCCAGGGTTATGGAAGGCCCCGGGAGGAAGCGGG